ATCGGATTGTCGTCCACGCCCAACTCCAAGAGAAGACTTATCAACTCCATGTGCTGGTCCTGCTGGCCCAAATTGTCGGCCTTCGAAACGTTGTGTAGAGTGACAAGCTTTCGCCAGACATCCCGCTTGAACGATTGAATCTGCTCATCAACATCGTGCCACATGCGGGCAGCCAGTACGATCTGATAGAGCTGTGTGTCTGTTGAATTGGTTGCCGATACGTTTGCTGCTAGGTAGCGCGCATCGTCCGAGAACTTGCGCGCCTTGTTGTACTCTTCAACGAGACTCTCGTAGTCTCGGCGCTTGATGCTGTCCGCGATGGCGGAGCTCAACTCCACGTACTCCTTGAACTGCTCCAGGTTGGCCGAGACGATCTTGAGATTCTCTTCCTTTTCGCGACCTCCAAGAGCAGGGCCCCAAACATCCTCGGCCTTGGCGGACACGTCTAGCAGAGGTGCTTTGATTCCTGCAACGCCGTACTCGCTTTCCTTGACGAGAGCGTTCTTTTTCCGGGCGTCTGAAGTGGGAGACGCAAGATTGTTGGCAAGGGCGACGCCGCCATTGCTGCTGCGGAAGCTGCTTCGGCTAGCGTGTCGAGAATGGCCGCGAGGACGGCCGGTCGTTGGCGGCGGTGGCGGCTCCGCGCCGCGGTACTTCATCTCCTTATAGACATTATCTATAGTGGCCTTCGCCTTGACGAAACGCTCAAAGTTGGTTTCCACCAAGACCTTAAGTGATGCAGACTTTTGATCAATTGACTGAGACAGAACGTCCAGGCCGACCAGCAAGCTTTGAGTGTCGGCAGTCGCGTGCATCTGTGACAGAAACAGGGCGGGGGAGAAGGTTGTAGAGGAGAGGAGGAACCGATTGCCTAGGCATGGTGTTAGCATCGGGTCAACAGTCGCTGCATTTCCACCGTCCAGTCGTCTCCGTCTCCGTCTCCGTCTATCCTACCGAGCTGGATACGTACGTAAACGAGGGTCGTCTTGGATCGGCACTCCGAGCTGGCGGAGAGTCCTGACGACGCTGTCAGTGGTGCCCAAGGGGTCAGGTTCATCTCGCTGGACAATATTGCCAATGCCGCCCTTCTCGGACTGCGAGCCGGGAATCATGCTGTTGCGGTTGCTGACAGCCCGCTCGAGCGCCTGGTATCGCGACTTGCGGCGATTCAGCTTCGCCTTCTTCTCATCCTTCTCCTCATCGTCGGATCCACCGCTCTGGTTCTTTTCGTCGGGCCATTCGTTCGGGTACGGGTTGGGAAGCTGGTAGAATTCCAGGATGGTTCTCTCGTAGTCTGACATGTTTGGGTATCTTTGTTTGCTGTCGCTATTGTTGTTTGTGGTCGGAAAGCGGCTGGAGGTTCTGTGAGGGAGCGCACAGCTGGCAAGGACGTGGAGCAGCGATTCGTTTCAAATGCGAACGAGAGCCGATTCCATTGGCCAAAGGGCAGCTAGTCACAATGCTTCCCAGAAGGCACTGGAGGCGCCAAAAGCCGCAAGAGGCACCCGTGGACGTCGGTAAGCGCAAGGAGGGACTCGGTCGCAGATGTGGCCAGCTTCTCTCGGTGATGTCAAGTCCAGGGCGGTGGTAGGAGCCGGAGCAGCTACCTGACTTCAGCTCAGCATAGGTATTACCTAACCTTACCTAGGTATTACCTAACCTTACCTAGGTACCTACCTACCGGTACCTAGGTACGCGTTCGCACAAGAGGTGGGGTGGGCAGGAATTCAGTGACCACGACCTGTCGGGCCGGGTGTGGGTCTTGCCGGCTCAGAGCACCGGTGGCCAGCTCTATGTACGGGGGTGTAGACCGGTACCTTCTTCTTCCACCGAGCAGCAATTGCGGCGCAACATCCCGACATTGTCACCCACAGACTCCGGGCTATGATTACTGTAGGTCATCTTCTTGAATCAGCCTCACGACGGGGAATCCAGAGATCCTTGCAGGCTCACGTTGAAGATTGATTAGCGGTGTCCATTCTCTTGGAGGATTTCGATTACCATCAGGGATCGCGACGCTTGGTTGAATTCAACCGCATGCCACCAACGCGAGCAGACCGGGGGACTTCTCAAGTGACGCTATTGTGGAGATACTTTGGGTACTTGTCGGACAGTGTTCCTCCACGAACAAGGGGAACTTCTCTTCGGCTTCGAGAACAAGTGGAGGGCTAATGAGGGGAACGAGCGATATAACAGCAGACAGTGGCCTTGGCCAAGTGTGCCAAGCATCGCAGCTATATTTCATCGTTAATGTGGTCTTGCTTTTGTCGGTGACGAAATCTCCGGGCCCGAGAGGGCAGCTGTCTCATCGGCCAATCCCAAGGTCAGCATGCTGCACGAAAGTCCGCGGTGGATACACCCACCAGACGAGTAACGCGCATGAGCCTTGAGTTTGATCACTCGATCTTGTGGCTCACTCGTCGTCCTCTCGCCCGTGTCTGTCAAGCTATCCAGTGTCTTTTGTCCAAGATGCTTGGCCTCACTTTCGACTCTACACTAAGGTATCCAGCCAGCAGGCTCTAGCCAACGGGGTTTTGCGGAGCACCCCGGCCTCCGTGCAGTGGAAAGAGGAGCGCCGAGAAACCCGGCCCCACGACCTCCGAGTCGTGACATGCGGCCAAGGCTTGGTTCCTTCCAGTCTCATTGGGTGGGCTATGGTTCACTCTGAGATTCGGCCATCCGTCGGACTGCGGGAGGGACTTCCCAGACGAGCTGAATCAGGCGATAGCCTTTAACCTTGGGTTGGAGCGAGTATTTCCTCAGCTGTTTGAAGACCAAGCCTAGCCGCTGTTGAAGCATGTCTGCAGTGCGAGTCATTTAGCCAGAATGTGGTCTTGTCACCTTCCCGCCAGCCAGCCCCGTGAACCGAATCAACCTGAACTGCTTGACGTGTGTCGGATCCGCCAGGCATCGTCCTGTCTCTTGAATGGGTGCCCCGTGCCAACGTGGATGGGTATGAGAAACACGTTCCATCTTTCCCTTGGTCGGCAATGGTCCTTGACCTGTCTCCCCATGGGGATCGCCAAAGAAGAGGGGAGGGAATGGACGGGCAGTTACAGAGGGGCCTACGGATACATAACGCAGCGGTGCACGGGAGCGTCCATGGCGTGTGGTTTTCAGCTCTTCTGCCCACCCGCCGATATTTGGGCGAGTTCTCCTCCAATGAAGTATTTTTGACAATGCTCCTGGGCTGCTTCACCTTACCAAAAAGTTGACCCTGCAATGCTGAGGATTTGAGCCGATAATGGGATGGGCTGGGGCATGGGGAAGGCCAGAGAACAGGCCAGTCCAGGCCAAGACCTGGCTCTTGACTTGTTGGGGATGGTGCATCGGAGCACATGAGTGAAAAGATGGGATGGCACTTTGGTCGATTCAAGCGGGACCAAGCTTTCGCGAAGGCTTGGCGAGATGTGGAATGCTTCTGGAAGCATTTCCTTCCACGCCTTTTTTTTTTTTTTTTTTTTTTTTTTTTTTTTCTTTTTTTTCCCCACGTTCAGCCCTCTTGGCATTGGGTTTCCTTGCCCTACTGTGCAGGCAACAGCTAACCAGGTCTCGTCTCTGGTTCTCGGTATCACATAATGACCGTGAAAATTCGAGGCCGACCTGGATGGCGGATCACCTCAGTGTGACTTTGAACCTTGGGTGGGACACCGTCCTCTGATCCTTTCGGCTGTATCAGATGCAAACACGTTGTGGGCGGAGGTTGGTGTGAGACGAGCAGAAATGAAAGCCTCGCTATGATGATCAGAATTCGAGGTTAACCACTCGCGGGAAACTCGGCGGGACTCGCTCGCCTTACGGCATCTACAACCTCGCCCTCGTCCGCGATAGCAGCACACACACATTTGCCAACTGGGATGAAGCCTCCTCCCGTCGCAGTGGAGGACCTGGAGGCACCACTTGGTCCGCAGTTCAAGTCTCACCGCACATGCGGAACCCCACGCTAATCGCCCCTCCTCATCTCCTCCAATGTTGACCACTAGCCAGTGGCGGAAATAGGAATGCGAATGGGAACCGATGGGACTGGGAATGTCAACGGGAATGGAACAAAGGAAGCGTGACGAGGCAGTAGACAGCGGAGGAACCAGCGCCAAGTGCAGGTCCTACCGATTGCTCAAATAAGGTATAAGAAGGACAGTACCAAGGTACGGATACTTGGTTGACAGTCACTGCATCCCGCGTACCCGTATACATCGGATCCAAGAAAAGAAGCTGCTGCAACCATGTCGGGTTTCCTTGCAGTGCCTGTGATTAGTCAACATCACGGCAGGACCCTCTAATGTCTGAGGTGGGTACTTGACTCTGGCCGCGGCACGGAGACACAGACCTGGACGGTAGACACAGACCCGGCGGTAGGTACGCGATCTGGCGATACAAGGAGAACGGGTTGATAGGTAAGATGTACCAGATGGATACCTACATGAGGTGCCTTGCCGTCGCCGTCCTCAGTTGGGGTTTCTGGGTCCATGCTCTGCATCTGCATCTGCATCTCCAGTCCAGTCCAGTCCAGAATATCGCTCACGTCGGCTTCCCTTGCCTTGTCTGCCGGGCGGCCACTTGACCCTTCTGCAGGGGTGCTCGTACCTACTACCGTACCGTACCTAAGGTAAGGCAAGCTTAGTAGGTGGTGTATTCGTAAGTACCTACATACACTGTCCGTAACCGTAACCGTCCTTGTCTCTCGTAGCCCCGTCTCCCAAATCCAAGGTTCGTGGTTCTTTCCGTGTTGGGGCCCTTCGTCGCGCTTGTTCGTCGCAACTCGGCATGTCCAATAGCTCTGGATCAGTCGGCACTCCGTCTCACTCTACATACGCTGAGCTATTTTCCTATATATTGAAGCAGACTTCCCTCCCTCACCCCAAACTTTCCATGTCCAGGTCAGCCATCTTCACGCGTATTACGTTTATATCCTGCCGTTCTCCAGCCCAGTCCAGTCTTTACTCCTCAGGGACCCAGCTTATATATCATTCCTGCGCAAACAACAACATCAAACCGTCACAATGCCTTCCGCCGACGCTCAGAAGGGTCAGCTCCAGAATGTCTTGGAGAACAAGGGCATCAAGTTCCAGATCAAGTCCGGCACCGCCAAGTATGAGTGCCACCTCCTGGACCGCTCTACCCAGTGAGTTTTGCAACCAACGGCCGAGAAGTTCATCGACTGACATGCCACTTCAGTGAACGCATGAAGGCTACCAGAACCAACTCGACAGACACTCAGAGCAGCACGTCGTCTGCTTCCACTGTCAGCAGCTCCCACTAAACCACTTTCCCGAATGGGAGGCTGGGGCAGGGGGATAGGAAGCAAGGAAGCACGGAAGCACGGAAGCACGGAAGCACGGAAGTAGGGCCTGGATGCTGCGATTGGCGGGGTTCAATCCGGTGTTGGCGGAAGCCAAAACCGCCACAAATCACGGCGCAACCACGGCGTTAAAAGCGCGCAGCGCATCCAAACAAACCGAGCAGTGAGGCGACGCATTTTCAATCCTCGAAGCCTGGTCGGAGTTGACGGCACGCCAACGTGTCTCCACACACCACTACGAGCCCTCGGGAACTGGCCGTCCATGTTCCCGATGGTGTGCGTGTGCGGTCCTTGTCACTTGCTCGATCAACCTTGAGGAGCGAGAGCGGACGATGCACTGGCGCAGCCGCTGGTCGGACCGGGATATGGACTGTCACTCATCAATTTCATCTGATATCGATTACCTGCACTAGGGGGGCATGACAGGATTTCCAAGGAGTTTTTAGAATCATGGCGTTGGTAGAGCAGCGTGCAGCTGATACCTATTTTGTTAGTTCAATTCATTAATCCGTCAGGATTCAAACCAACATTTCTTTTCTCCAAAGCGCTGCAGACCAGAATGCCGGCTCCATCAGACCCTATTTTCTCGCCCCGGTTGTTCAACTTCCGGCGCATCCGTGGACGTTTATCTGCCGCTTTACCTATGAGCGCCAATTACTGCATTCTCGATTAGATTGTGCACCCTCAGCAACCGGCCCCCGTGAACTTGCCCGACGGGATCCGAAAGGCTGACCGACTTGTGTGGATTCGACCCTCATCAACAGCAAGATGGGTGGTTGTCCCCAAAGCCCCCAACAACCATCGGATTGTGGGTTTCATTTGGACTTGCCGATTTGGTCTCAGGGTCTTGGGGCCTTCGCCATGTTCGTTTGATCCATGGATCTCACGACCGATCGAATTTCATCTAGCCATACGACGACGACACTAGGCGATGCCGCTGGCCCTAGAATGCGAACCGCGCAACCACGTCCGAGCGTCGACTGCAGTCTGTAGACTCTCCACTCTCTCTCTCTCTCTGGCAAAGTCCCCGAGTAGGCCGCTTCGGTCCCGAGGGACAATCCATGGACCCCATCTGCAGGCGGAGCGGAGCGCCGGAGATCGACAACAGCCAGATCGGTGTCGGTCTCGCGTAACCGCCGACGACCGATGCAATGTGCCGGTCTAGATGTGAGAATCCGAGTACATCTGGATTTTGAACTAACTCCTTGTCCAGGCACAAGTTACCCTGACTTGTGCCTGGACAAAGGGCCGCACCAATGGAGAAGGAGGTACATGTCACTCAGAGTTGCTGTTATCTAATAACTCATAGCTGACAGGGCAGACGCGAAGAAGCCGCCAAAAGAATAATTTTCGTTGGAAATTATGAATGAAGAACTGAAATCAGCGCTGGTCTAACTCGTCACGTGCCACGCTGGAGAGGCTTTCACGTCATAGACCCGGATGCTCTCAACGAGCGGAGAATTGCCTGATATCCCATCAGCCAGCAGGCTGACGTACGATCCAAGAGCCGCGCATGAGCATGCAAATTCGGATGATGTAAGCAGGCGAGAAAGCTGCAAGATCGTCTTTGCATGCAAACACGGACTTGGAGGGGCGTGCGATGTTTTGAGGATACTCAGCTTCGAGGTTTCTTTGTCTCTCGCAACACTAGTCGTCATTGAGGAAATAGCAGGCTATTATGATGTTATGCTCGGCGGAACAGGCTCAGGCTAAGAAGCCCAGCATATCTCTCGCCATCGATTTTGCTATTCCTTTGGGGCCAGGACCGCGCCTTTCCAAGCGCCGCTTGATTAGGTAGCAAGAGACCGAAGCAAACGATGGACACCGCCATTCCTCCTCTGCCTGTGCCGCGAATGAGAATGTTTAGGGAGCCTGTTTTCGACGCCGATGTGCAACCTGAGGGCTCATTAAAAGTGCAGGTTGGACTTGGGCGAGTGGCCTAGAGTGGCCTACCGCAGTTGGTTTTCTGTCCGAAAGACTCGCTGCCATGATTGTTTTGAACTTGTTGCCAGACCACGCCAAGCAAGACGTTGTCAATGCTAATTGACCGACCCTACACACCAGAGATTCCCCTCCACACATGCCGTTGGGTACCTTATGTTTTTGAAACCCGACCCCGCTTGCAGTGGCCCATGCTCCTGATAGTCCCTCTTACATTTGGTTCCTCAGTCCATGAAATTATTCGAAATGCCTCCTTAAATGTGTTAAGAGATGGTATCGGCAATGTAAGCGGTAAGCGTCAATGAACCTTGATCAAGCCCCCGTGAACGAATGAAGACCCAGCGAGATCAGTGTTAGGCAAGCCCTCTGAGCTGGTGATACCTTGGGTGCTCAAGGGGAGGAAACGTAAGGTACGTGCCTGCCGCGTCAAGGTGGCAGGCAGGCAGTGAGTTGGACTCGTTGCCTCTCTCCCATGCCGCATCCAAAGTCAAAATGCGGTGCCACGTAAGTATTGAACAGGTCTCTCCGCTGCACGCGCATCGCCATTCGAGAGGAAGCAATGCCACTGTAATATTTCACACCGTAAAAAGGGTGCAGTTGAAGGAACGCCCCAATGGAGAAAGCAGACCGCCTGCAACCAATAGAATGGGCAGACTATCTCTGACAGGGCGCCCCCTACGTTGAGGAAGAGGGCGTTGCTCCTGACAAGATAGCCCTGCGGCGGCCGCCCCCGTGACGTTATCCGGTGCGCCTCGCATCAGACTTGGACAGTTTGGTCCGCGCGGTTAAACGCTTGAGGAATCACACCTCGAGCTTCCAGGCCATTATGGGTGTCCCCCGAGGCACCCCAAGGCGCCCCCCCCTCCGCCACTCCCGGCAGAGGCAGAGGAGGGAGGCAGGGAGGGAGCTCATGGAAGTTAGACAGGCTTGGATGCTAAGGTTTCTCCTGTCGTTGGTAGGCCGGTGTGGTGTCCAGGTCAGTCAGGTACCGCTGCTATTCCTGCATGTCAAACTAAAAAAGTACTGCCTGCCGCACCTTCGCCTACCTTACCTTACCTTACCTTACCTTACCTTACCTTCTCGCCGCATCCTCTCCCTCCATTCTCGTTCAACCTCTGGTCATTCCCTTCGATTCATTATTACGGTTTGGCTGTTGATTACGGGCCGTTCGAAATGCCTGTACCAATCGCTGCCAAAGGTGAGTGACACTGGACACCCAACCCGTCCTTCTCCAAGTCCCCCTTGTCGCGGCCTATCGCTTGTGCTGCCTACCCCATCCCAATGCCGCCCGAAGATCTGCTGTTTTCTGCTCTTCAATACGCTACCCCGCGCCAGCGCTGTCGCGAATCACGTTGCTTGCCTGAGGTGGTCAGGCCTGTGGCATTGTGGCAAATGCTCTTCAGGACTACGCAATCCCAGCTTGACCGTCTGGTGGCCATCTCACCTCTGGAAATCAGACCTTGAAACCTCGTCCTGGGGGTCGGGTTTCTCATTTCTCCATTTACGGACTGTGTCCTTCTTCCCTTACACATCGTCCCTCCTCGTTTCCCAAGTTATCGCATTTTGATCCTACCTTCGCCCTCATCTTATAATGCCTGGAGTTAACCACGGAGCCCTGGCTTCAGCCGGCGTCATTGCCGTTTCTGTCGCTGTAGCAGCCGCCATCGCCATTTACGAATCGCCCGAGATCCGACGCTATGCTGACGAGCTTCGGAGGCGTATCGCCGTCGCTCTGCATTCGCTGGGCGAGAATATCGATCCGGAGGACCGCCCGCCAATGTTTAACCGCCCTGAGGATGCTGAAGGTTTCATGCAATCTCGTGGAGGACCTGAAGCTGGCGTCGATGCCGATGACGAAACCCGCCGCCGGCAGCGGGAGGAGCTATTGTACTGGAATGCCCTGAAAGTCGCCAAGCAAGAAAAGGAAAAGATGGAGGCCGAACTTGCCGATTCAAAGGAGCTGCCGCCTGCCCCGTCGCGCGGAAGGTCCTTCGATGACTTTATGCGACAGGACGAGAGCAGCGACAAGGGAACCTTCGTTTTCAACACCGGTGCCGACGTCCGCGGCGACGAAGAGGGCCTTATTCGTCGACGTCCTGAGGGTGTCCGTGGCCTGAACGCCTCACTCTACGCAAACCCGTTCGCCGACGAGCACCAAATCGACCAGGACGAGCTGCCGACAACTGAGGAGCCCAACCAACTGTCTCCTGGCCACGACGAGGCCCTCTCAGACATCTACAGTGCTACGACCCGTGACGCAGACGAACGCCCACGATACACTGCCGCCGCTATCGCTACCATGCCCGCTCTTGTGGATGTTGCTGAAAACTCTTCCGAGACCGAAAGATCTGCCACCCTTGACCGTGAGCTCGGATCCGAAGAATACATGACCGCTGGCCAGGACGACCGTGACGATGCGTACGCCTCTATCCAGGCCTGGGCCCAAGGGTCCAGCCCCTCCAACTTTTACTCACCGCTCCCCATGTCGCCACCCGTGCCCATGTCCGAGCCTGAACTCGTCAGCGACGGCGAGTTGACCCCCACCGACTCGGCATCCCTCGCTGGCTCCGGCGAGGATGTTGCCAACGATGCTGCTTCGTCCAGAGCTGGTGATACTGGACGATACTACGATGTCCTGAGTGAGAGTGAGGGTATGATGACCCCCGCAAGCTGGTCAGAGGTTGGCAGCGTTGTCAGCGAGAGCGAGGCTCAAGCCCCTGTCAGGGCATAATCACGTTGGAATGGACGGTGTCACATTCCTCGCACTCGAGTTTTTTCCTCCTTCGTTTCCCTGGTTGGTTTATTCGTGTCGGAAGATTCAATTCGTTTGAGTAGGGCGACGGTACAGGCAATAGCAACGGCGCAAAAGGTTCAACAGGACTGGGAAAGAGTACTCTGATAGATTCAAGGCGGTACTGCACATGAATTGAAATTGGCTCCTATGACACCTCTACTCGCTCCATGTTTCATGATACCTAAGTAGATGTGAAAATGCTAACCGAAGACTGGTCTCACTCTGCGATGGCTTCATCGGCCGCTCTGATTCTGCCGAGCCTAATGTCATCATCGGAAATGTCGTCCTTATTGATAAGCACAGTTTCCTCATCCTTCAGCTTCTCTGCGTAATCCTTCCACAGCTGCTCTACCGGTCGACCAAGAGACTCGGTCCAGAACTCCTTCTCCCGGTATCTTTGATTGCGGAGCTTCTCGTTCAACTTTTGCACGGTTCCAGCGCCGAATCGACCCTCAAGGTAGTCCAGGAAGTAGGCCGTGTGCTGGTAGCCGCCATCCCAGTTACCGCTAGACTCTCTCTTCCAGTGGGGCGGGCTGAGTTTGCTGTTGAGACGGACCCAGTCAGCGATGCCCTCAATGAGGCCGCCGGGACAGGTCCCATGGGCGTTCCATTGGAAGCAGTGAACCATCTCATGTGTGAGGACACCCATGATCTCATCAGTGCGGCGTTCGGAGGGGATGCCGGCAATATAGGACATGGAGAAGTGGATTTCCTTGTGGTCGTCATCGAGGTCGGAGCCTGTGGTGTAGGCAACGCCGCCCATGTCGCGGAGGATCAGGGTGACGGAGCGGGTGGGCGGGGCATGAGTGGTCGGGTTTGAGGGGGACTCGTAGAGCAGGTTGAGCACAGAGTGGACAGCGGTGGCCAAGGCGGTGCTGGCGTTCACGGCGGAGAGAAAGTGAGCCGCGGCTGGGTGGTTAAGATCTCGGATCTCGAGTCGCAACTTGGGCAGATCGAACTTGGGGTCGGAGGGGCGATGGCGATCGGCAGCAGCACCGGCGGGGCCGGCGGGGCTTATGGCCTTCTGCTCCGGAGATTTGGGACGGGATGGGAGAGGTGTTGTGGCGGGCGGGCCCGGAGGCGGTGCTTGGGTTGCGGAGGGCGTTGCGGAGGACATGGCGGGCAGGAAGAGCGAATCGGGGTTTGGAGCTGGTGTGGTGTGAGGTGGGAGGACCATCTGCGGGAGAGGTCTTGGTGAGATGAGAGGCGACGCTGAGAAACAAGCCTCCGAGAGGTGGGAGACAGCTTGGGACGAAGTTCTGTTGTGTGCCCTACCAAGCAAGGTAACATCAGCAACCTATGGAGCAGGCAGATAGATGTACGCGTAAGCGGCAGCAGCTTGGAATCTTTATGCGGTCTTGAGAGCTTGATGGCGGCTGAGAGATGTTCGGTAGTTAGCTGACACAAAGAGCTCTGTCCCTTTAGGTTCCGTCACGTCAGTGAAGGTGAATGAGATAAGGTAGGTATGAGAGCGAGAGTGCTGACCTGGCACCGTCAGTCAGCCTGGGGCCCTGATCGTGGACCTGACGTACAGGCAGGCACCTCATGCAGTAAGGTCTACCAGGTAGTAACCTGGGCCGGGGCGCAAAGCCAACCTAGCAAAGCCAACCTAGGTAGGTATGCAGGGGTTGAGGGGCCCCTGTCGCGGTAGCGAAGAAGCACATCCCAGGCCGTTTCGCGCTTAGCGGCTTCCTCCTAGCGTCCCGCCGCACCTCAGAGGCGGCATCGTGGGGAAAGACCCACCCGCTGGCCAGTAATAACCTTGAGTCGAGCACAACAAGTCCCCGTGGCACGGGGCAACTGCGGCTTGGGATCCCCCCAAAGTGCCCCCCTTATGTCGGGCTGCTCGAGACATCTGCAAACAATCACAACACCTGCGCGCAAAAAAGTGCAAACGTCGGTTACGCACCATACACATACGCCGTACTTGCGCTGCACTGCACGCTCCGTCCCCGGCGCGATACGATACGTTCGCCGCGCTTCTTCGCACTGAGACTTTCCTCCGTGCCGACCCAACGACAAGCGACGCGACTTTCAAATCGTAAGCTGCTCGCTCGCTCCCTCTTCCCCGTCGCCCAGTGTCAAACAACCACCCCTCCCCCTCCCCCCGTTGCGCTAAACGACTCATGCTCCCTCTCTCGTCGTCATACTGCCATCAGTCGTCGCATATCTTGTCAGACTGGATTTACATTCGTGCGCGCGAACCACAGCCCGTTGAGCAACCTGCACGACGGCGACGTCGAAAGGATAAACACCAGCTGACCAATCCCCTTTGCTCTTATCAGGCTCAAAATCAACACCCAACTCCAAGCGCAACCCTCGTTCTGCGGGGAATGGCGGAAAAAATCACCGAGGACCAGGTCGACGACCTGCTCAAGATCCTCCGTTCTGAGGCCAGCATCGATACCAAGGTCCAACACGTTACGGGCATCAAATCCGGCATCAAGCAACACAATGTCCCCGACGTCCTCATCCCCCTCATCTTCGACGGCCTCCGCACCGCATCCGTCTCCCAACATGCAGTGCTCGTTAACGCCGGCTTTACGGCTTTGAATCACCTGCTCACGAGGCTGTCACGCCAGGAGCCCAAGTACATCGCCAAGGAGGCGAAGCACACCCTGCCGTTGGTCATCGACAAGTTGGGCGACCAGAAAGAGAAGTTTAGGAGCCTCGCGTCGCAAGCCTTGACGACGATATACTCGGCCGCCCCAATTGACGTTGAGCGTTCGGTGCGAAACGTCGCCATGATTGGCAAGAACCCACGCGCCAAGGAGGCTGGCATGCACTGGTTGCTGCACATGCACCAAGAGCAGGGCATGCAGTTTCGCGCTTACGTTCCGACTCTTATGGAGCTCCTTGAGGACGCCGACGGCATGGTGCGCGATGTCGCCAAAACCACCGTCATCGAGCTTTTCCAGTACGTGGCATCTGGCAGACGAACTTCCTCCATAAAATGTGCGCTAATCGTTGCGTGACAGAAACGCCCCTGGTACAGCCAAAACAGACCTCAAGAGACAGCTCAAAAACTTCAAGGTTCGTCCCGCGATCGAACAAGCCATCGTCAAGGCGCTTGCGCCGAATAGCGACCGACCCGAGACTCCCCATGAGCCTGCAGCGGCTCCAGTGGCAAGACCAAAGCTTGCTGCCAGCGTATCGTCTCTGGCGAGCGAGCGACCCGTGACCCCCGCGGGCGAGAAGCCGATTGAGGTGGAACCGGCATATGTCAACACTAAGGGTGAACTTGACGACATTTTCAGGGAAATGATGCTGTATTTCGAAGGAAGGGAGACGGAGCAGAATTGGCTGAAGCGCGAGGAGAGCATGACAAAGCTGCGGAAGCTCATTGCCGGAAACGTGCCCCAAGATTACCCTGACGTCTTCATGTTGGGTCTCAAGGGCTTGTTAGATGGAATCATCAAAGCTGTCAACTCCCTTCGAACCAGTCTTTCAAAGGAGGGTTGCAGCTTGGTGCAAGATATTGCCATTACCTTCGGCCCTGCTATGGACCCTCTGGTGGAGCTTCTTATGCAGACCTTCATCAAGCTGTCAGCCGCAACCAAGAAGATCAGCTCCCAACTTGCCAACACTACCGTCGACACTATCATCTCGAGAGTTACTTACAGCTCGCGAATCATGCAGCATGTCTGGATGGCTTGCCAGGACAAGAATGTCCAGCCTAGGACATACGCTACGGGTTGGTTGAAGACTCTTTTGAACAAAGAGGCCCACCACAAGAGTCACATCGAGCACGGTGGTGGCCTGGATATGGTAGAAAAGTCCATCAAGAGGGGCCTCAACGATGCAAACCCAGGAGTGAGAGAGAGAATGCGTGGTACCTACTGGGTGTTCGCCCAGATCTGGCCTGCCAGAGCCGAGGCGTAAGTGGATCTGTTAAGTGCCTCCTGGACCAACTAACACAATCGCAGGCTCAAGGATACATTGGAGCCGACTGCCCAAAAACTACTTGATAAGGACCCGAACAACCCGAATGCCCCCAAGAGGACGGAGACCGAAAGGGCCAGGCCAGGTCTTGGTTTGTCTAAGAGCACCATGAGCAGTACTAAACCGAGTTTACGGGAGACGATGATGGCGCAGAAGAAGGCGAATATGGCTAATCGAAATCTGCCACCTCGCCCAGGATCTGCTATGGCCAATCTTTCTCCTGTTCGACCTCAGCCCGCAGCACCCAGCGCATCAGCGTCAACGGGTCCGGCACCTCCAGCAAAGACGACCGTGTCCGGCGGCATGTCTGTCCGGCCCATGAGACCCACAAAGAAGCGGCCGGAAATGGCTGCCCGACCGGCCACTGCGGGGCCATACTCCGTGCGGACTCACGATGGACCTTCTAACGAGGCCCCTTCTCCAGAGAGCCTTAGATCCAGGACGACGCCGAAGCGGAAGACAGAAGCCTCGCCGCGCAGAGCCCCCTCTCGGCCTCGGCCTGGACATGCGCCTCACGCGAGCGAATCCAGTGTCGCATCCCCAGTTGCGAAATCGGTGCTCTCAAAATCTGTCTCATCTCCTCACGGGGCTTCCCCGAGGACTAGTCCCGCAAAGACTAAACGATCGCAGACCACTACTGCAATGCCGTTTAGCAGCCCATCCGGAAACAACGAGGATCTCACCCTGGTCGTGCCAAATCTGGCAAGCTTAAGAGCGTCGCCGCCTAAGCGCGCTCAGTCGGAGGAGCCGATGATAATAGACCATGCCGCGGCTTCTGTAGAGATTCCTTTGCCGGCGGAGCGTGTTCCAGAGCCTACGCCAGAGCCTACGCCAGAGCCGGAAGCTAGAGTTTCTCCGACGCCTTCACTCCAGCCAGCTGCAGAGATCATTCCGGAGAATGCTAGAGAATCGCCTGCCCCTCCCGCTGCCGACGAGCCTGACGAAAAGCCTGATGATAAGCCTGTTGGTGCTCCGGCAGAACCAGCTGACAACGTTGCGCAAGCTTCAGAACCAGCTCCTCAACCGGAGCTGGAACTTGAGTCTGGAACCATGCCTGTCAACGGGCTGAAGGTCTTTGAAGATCCCTTCACCGAAGATCAGCCTGTGGAAAAGTCCAGTCCTACCGGTCCAGTCCTTGAAGATAAGCCGGTCAATGAAATTCCTACACCCGCGCCTATCAACGGCGAGGTCAACGGTGCCCCCGAGACGCCGGATAAGGCGCGGCAGACCTCTAAGCTATTGGAAAGCGGAGTCACCAGAGTCAAGGCGAAGTCTCTGGATGTCCATGGTTTCAGAAAGCTACAGTCCATCATCAGAGACGGTAAAGCTGTTTTCACCGATGAGAAATTTGAAGCGCTTCTTCGTGGGCTTTTCGAGTATCTCGAGTCCCCGCTCGCTACTCTCGCGCCGGAGAAGGTTCAAGATGTCAAGGCGCAAATCCTAGCGACGATCAAGCTTCTGCTCAAGAAGGAACGAGACAACTTCCAGCCGCATGTTTCGCGGGGGCTTGAGTCGCTTGTGGAGACTCGCAGCGCCTACGACTCGCGGGCTCGCATCGTCAGCGGCCTTGAGCTTCTCTCCGAGGAGCTTGTTGCCCTAGGCGATCCGCACGAGATCGTCGTCGTGATGACGAAACAGCTGCAGGGCAAGGAGGATAATTCCGTTGAGGGCAGCCGTTGTCTCGCGACGGGTCTGCACGTGCTCAAGGAGCTGCTCGACAAGCGCACCGGCTTCGTGCCTTCGGAGAGTGAACTGGCTCAGCTTGCCGGCCTTGCCGGGCGGTGCCTCGAATCCACGGACTCGGGCGTGCGCATGGGTGCCGTGCAGTTGTGCGTGGCGCTTCACTCGCGTATTGGGGACGGGGCTTTCTGGGAGCTCATCAAGGGCGCCAAGGACGATCCCAAGAACCTCATCACATACTATATTGCCAAGCGACAGCGAGAGAGCAGCGTTGCGGCTTAGATCAACTCAACATACATCATGGTATTTTGGCGATAAACGGGCTTTGGCGTCGGAAGAGAAGTGCGGGACACGGTATAAAAAGCAAACGGAGTTCTTGCGCGGTCGTTGGTATGGAGGGGAGCTAGCTATTTGGGCGGCAGGTCTGGGTTGAGTACATCTGAGAAGCCTTTCTTTCTTGTATTGCTGTTTTAATAGCCGGCATAGCTAGCTGAA